ACAAAAATAGAGCGCGCGCTTTCGCGCACGCGAACACCCTCCCGCGAACGAAACACTGAGGTGCGCAACATAGGATCTTAGTCTTGAGGCGCCGCAATAACCGAACCAGGATTCACACACAAAAGCGAAGATGTTGCAGAAGACAGAGAGACGCAGGAACGGCGAGAGAACACGAGCAGATGGAACGACAGGGAGAGAGGAGAGAAAGCGAGCGGCTAAGGAAACAGGAGAGGAGGATGGAAGGAGGACAGAAGGAAGGACGAGGATATGGAAGGAGAGGAAGAAAGGAGGAGGACGAGCAATCCGCGACGAACCTCAAAAGCGAGTCAAGAATTCACGCACACAGAGACAAACTTGAAACGCCTTGAGCATACGAACCTCAGGGGGTTCCTGACGAATCGCTTTGAGGTCCGACATAAGTCGGAGCTGCGATGACGACATCATTGCGGCGACGCGATTCTCGCGCTTCGAGACAAGGTGCAAGGCGTGAGAGGTTGCTTCGAGTCAAGGCGCGGCGCGACAGCGGCGAGAGGGGACAGCAGCGCGAGAGGACAGTGACACACGAAGAGTGGGACGAGCAACGGAACTTGTGTCGCGGCCCAAGTTGTTTCGAAATGACTCAGTACGCCACTACGACGAGAGAAAATCACGCAGACACGCGAGACGCGACGGGGCGGCCGACGAGGCAACCTAGAAACCCTAAAGGCGAGTACCGTGTCCTGACGCAACCACCTAACTCGCAAAGAAACTGTGCGAATTAGTCGAAGAGAGTGCAGCGGCACGAAGCAATGCTTGGGGGTTTGGAAAGAGCCACGGGATCAGCACCCTTGAGTCGGCCTTGGGCGAGAGGAGACGTGTCAAGATAAGCGAACTGGTGTTATGTGAATGGTACACCTGTCCTCCGGTATTTCCACACCCCCCACCCTCGTTTTTTCCAGACACCCGATACGGCTTGAGGATCGACGAGACGGACACCCTGACACCACGGGTCTATCAGTAAAGAACCGCCAGGTTCTGCCCATTCGAAACTCAAATTTGTAATCAGAGTGAGCGGGGAAAATTCCCAGTGCCATAATGTTGGAGGTTAAACTCGCATTGAGGTCGTGTCTTACTACCCTCGAAACTCCCGTGATCGTTTCTAACTACCTCCGAAATCCTATTTTTCGAGGGTAGGTACCCCAGGGCGTGAAGATAGGGGGTGTGGAATTATCGCAGGATAGGTGTAACGATAGGAAACAAGCTAACGAAAGGAAACAAGTAGGTGAAGTGCCGCTGACTTTTTTTGGGAAAACCGAGGTGAAGCGGATTTGGATGTTCGAACGAATACAAGACGGACGTCACGGAACTGCAAGAAGCAGCTGGGGATTTTGGTTCGGGAAGAGGTGACGACACCGCTAGGAGAAACCACCCTGGATAAACCCAGGATGAACCCCCAAAATATCGAGAAAGCACGAGGCTGACACGCAGTCGTGTCCCTCTTGCTACGCGTGGCAAAGAATCTTAAAAAAAAAGACGCGGGGTTCTGAATCTGGGGGAGTTTGATTTGACACGGTTCCATGGCAGTTCTCTAAATACCGCACTGAATTAGGTGTGCAGCGTGTTTTCACCTCTGGAGAGCATAAAAAAACCAAAGCGTGATTCAAGATTTGGAAGTTCCACCCAACACGCCATTCTGCTGGAAGTGTACCAGGGAGCAAATCCTCCAAGTGCTCCAAGAAAGTGTATGATAAAAATAATTGTGTCACTAGAATGTAAGAAGAAACAAGAGGCGACGAAATCGTCTTAGGGTTGCGAAGCGTTTCGCAGAAGAAATGCATTTTGTGCAACTGTTAATGTAAAGGTTTGAATTTTGTTTTCTCTTACTATATTTGTAAAGGTTTGTGCAACTTCTAGTACCAAGTATGATTTTATGTTTCTGGTAGAGGTTCGCAAAAGCTGCCTTCAGGTTTCGAGCCCACAACCTTTATGTTACAGTTTGGACTGCAAACCACTGCGCTACTACGCTGCTGGTAACACTTCTCTTTAGAATTACAGAACGTATAAACAGCGCGCTAATCAAATTAGGTTTCGACGGTTTCTTTCTCTCTCCTCTCTCGCTGGGCTAGGTTTCGTAGACATCCTCCCGCCAGTCACTCTCCACCTACCAATCTAAGGTGAGAAAATTTTTAAGCTTTCTAGTAGAACTAAGTTAGAATATTAAAACCTAGACTAACATCTCCTAGTCTCGTCTCTTAGTTGTTTAGAAGAGATGCGGATTGTTTAAGTTAGGTAGAGGCCGTTTGTAAGAACTTCACCTTTTTCCCTTGCCTTTCTTAGGTCCTATTCTTCGTGTCTTACTGCATATCTAGCATCTATTTCTTTTGTTCTTTATCGTTTGAGCCTTTCGCCGTAAGCATATTTCACTTTTTGTTGTTCTTAGATCTAGAACCGTCATAACCTCCTATTTGACGCGAAGTCGCTTAAGGCCTAATATTTCTGTTGGTTTATTCGTTATCTTTCA